TTGTTAAAGGCATCCCTACAGATTTGTCTATGGAAGAATTAGTTGAGTCTCTCATTGTCCCCGTTGGCTGCGGCCCAGTGTTAAAAGCAAGACGTCTCAGCAGGAAAAATGTTTCTGAGGATCAGACATCATGGATTCCTACTCGCACAGTGGTCTTCACATTTCAAGGTCAAGTTCTGCCCCCAAAACTATATATTTTCCACACATCAATGCCAGTCGAACCGTATCAACTTCCAACTATTCAGTGCCTTAACTGCTGCAGGTTTGGACATATCAGCACTCAATGTCGATCTAAACCAAGATGTTTCCGATGTGCTCAACCTCACCGTGGAGAAAGCTGTGAGATACTTGAAAAAGATGCAACATGTTTATATTGCTCTTCTAGACACTTTGCTAACAATAAATTATGTCCTGAACAATCACGCCAAAAGGCTATTAAACTCGCTATGTCCCAAAACAATGTCTCATACCAGGAGGCAGCTACAAACTTTCCTCCTGTCAGGAGGTCATATTCCGACATTGCACAGACCCCTATAACCACCCAACCAAATATCCACGTATATCAAGAATCGCCTCAAAAATCTCAGATTTCCTACAGGAAAACTGTCTCCCAGGAACCAAGACCCAAGCAAAATTTGAGTAAAGGCTATGACAAACAAGCCCATCAAAACATCATTAATAATAATGGAGTTACTACGCCCAACGGATGCGCTTTGAATAATTCTTCTAGTTCCATTGACATATCCCCTAATGACAATCTGCTAGAAATTCTTTGGTCTGTACTTTTCAACTTACTCAACAGATTTGATGATGTACCCATACCGCCCAACGTTGCCTCAAGACTTAGTGAACTTAATAAATTTATACAAAATAATATAAATAATGGCCAAGATTGTGCAATGGAACAGTAGAAGCCTACGACCTAAAAAACATGACCTATTTTCCATTATTAATGAATTCCATCCGTCCGTCCTCGCCATTACGGAGACATGGTTGAAACCTGGGACTCTGTTTAATGTGCCCGGGTACAGCTGTCTTCGGGATGACAGGGATGACTTAGGTGGTGGCTGCAGTCTTCTCATAGCTAGCTCTCTAACATTCTATCAACTTCACTTACCCCCTCACAGCCAGGACATAAACGCTGTTGCTGCAAGGATTTTTAATATATCTTGTGTATCAATATATATCCCTTATCCAAACCATACTTTAATGGAAGAATTAAAAAACATTATTAGATCACTTCCTCCCCCTGTGCTTGTAATGGGTGATTTTAATACCCATCATGTTTCCTGGGGATCTTCACACAATGACCATTGTGGCACACTATTACTAGATATCCTTGATGAAGAAAATTTATGTCTTCTCAATGATGGCAGCCCCACAAGAAGGGCCCGTCCTGATCAAAACCCCTCTGCGGTCGACTTATCAATCTGCTCCCCTTTTCTAGCTTCCAATATATCATGGTGCACCCTCAATAGTACTTACGGAAGTGATCATTTTATTATTTTATTAACTTTGTTAGACAAATTATTTTCGCCCATACGACTTCCACCTTTATTAAAATTCAAACTCAATAAGGCAGATTGGTCGTCCTATTCTTCGGCTTTGGATGATAAAGATAACCTCCCTCTAATTAACGTTGAAAACTGCTTTAATATATATAATGACTTTGTCACATCACTGCTCTCTGCTGCACATTCACATATTCCTCTAAAAAAGAACTCTCCAAATAGAAAAATATATCCCCCCTGGTGGAATTCTGACTGTACGGAAGCTATTGCGGGGCGTAAAAAAGCGGAGAAAAAATACAATAGTACAATGTCTATGGAAAACTACTCGGCCTATCAAAAAACAGCAGCCAAAACTAGAAAAATACTTAATCAAAAAAAAAAGAAGGATGGCTCAAATTCTGTGAGTCTCTATCACCAGGAACCCCCTCTTCCTTGGTCTGGAAACAGATTAAGAGATTTCGCGGTTCCCTAAATTCACCCAACAGCAGTTCAAATGACTCCTCGAACTGGCTAGAAACGTTCGCAGATAAATTAGCTCCCCCTTATGTTCCTTACATTGATTGCTTTCCTGTAGAAATCAACTCCATGACTCCCACTAATGGAGACCTAGATGGGCCTTTTACATTCGAAGAACTACATAGAGCACTTCAAGGCTTAAAAGACACCTCTCCAGGCGCTGATGGCATCCCATATTCATTTTTAATTAGAGCTCCAGATAAAACAAAACACCTTTTCTTATCTTTGATCAACTTTTTCTATGAGCACGGCATTATACCAGAATCTTGGAAGAATCAAATTATAATCCCTATCCTCAAGCCTGGGAAGAATCCCTCTGAACACGCCTCATATCGACCCATCGCTCTTTCGTCAGCTCTCCTTAAAATTATGGAACATATTATCAGAAATAGACTAGAATGGATAGTGGAAAGCCAGAATATCATCGCCAAATCCCAATTCGGGTTTAGAAAAGGATACAGTACATATGACAGCCTAGCAACCCTTACAACAGACATCCGTCTGGCATTCAAAAACAAAGAGTACATGGTAGCAATTTTTCTAGACATAGCATCGGCATATGACAACGTCCAGATTCCAATACTCAGGCAAAAGTTGCAACAGCTGAGTATCCCTGCGAAATTGGTACGCATCATCTGCAATACTATCTTTTCTAGATCAATCTCCATTAGATTTCAAAATGTTTCCCTTCCTCCCAGAACCATATGGAACGGACTACCACAAGGCTCTGTACTTAGTCCTTTATTGTACAGCATATATACCCACGATCTAGAAAGTACAGTGAAGCCTTTCTGTGAGGTTTTACAATACGCCGACGACGTAGCTCTGTATATAAGCGTCAAATCTATCCCAGAAGCTACATCCCGCCTTAACCAAGCGCTGTTTTATCTAGGAGACTGGCTGGGAAATCATGGTTTATCACTCTCAGTACAGAAATGTAGCGCTGTCGTTTTCACAAAAAAACGTTTTATTCCCGATCCTAATCTGATGTACAATGGAAGCCTAATTCTTTTACAAAATCAGGTCAAATTCCTAGGGGTAGTTTTGGACTCTAGACTTACAGGCAACCCGCATATCGATCAAATCCTAAAGAAAACAGAACGCAATGTGAACGTGCTACGGGCGCTATCAGGTGTATGGTGGGGAGCCCATCCTATGACACAAAAAATTCTATACAACGCCATAGTGCGTAGCCACTTTGACCATGGTACTCCCTTCTTAGAACCTTGTAATAAGGCGGCATTAGATAAAATTGATAGATTCCAAAGCAAAGCTTTGAGAATTGTCTTAGGCGCTATGAAGTCGTCCCCAATAAATTCCCTCCAAGTAGAGTGCGTCGAGCCTCCACTGTATTTACGCAGGCAATACCTATGTGACAAATTCATACTTAAAATACTTTACAATTCTTCCCACCCGCTCATCCCAAAACTACTTACACTGGCTGATACATACGAATCTTGTACGGAGACCCGGAACCTCCCTTGTATTGTAGTAAGCTTCAATAAATTTTATAGGCCCTCTATTCTGATGGAGAAATTTGCCGTCTACCCCCTCTATCAGAACAGTTTCTACTCCCTTATATTTCAACCGGATATCCGTCTTAACTTTGGAGTTGAAAAGAACTCTCCGAGTGCTTCTCACGATTTCTCAGAAACTCTCTGTCTAAATTGGCAAGGATGGATACCGATGTACACGGACTCCTCTAGACTTACGGTCAACGGGCACGTCGGTGCCGCAGTGTGGATCCCAAATTACAGAATAATATTGAATTTTCGCCTTCCAACCCTCTCATCTGTATTACTGGAGAGTGTATCGCTATTCTGGAGGCCGTGTTGTACGCGGAATCGCACAGTTTGGACAAAACTATAATATTCTCAGATTCACTTAGCTGCCTCCAAGCTCTTGAGGCCAATCCATTCCGCTCAAAGTCCCGAACCCCTGCCGTTCTTACGAGGTCAAAAGCTGGCAAAAGCTATTTCGATCTACAACCTTTTATACCTAGTAAACCGTGGTTTTTCGAACTCAATAATGTCCCAAAAAAAGTTATCTCCGTCATTTGTCGCCTCCGACTTGGCCATGCTTGCACACCGGTACATCTGGCTAAAATTAAAGTTCGGGATAGTTCTCTCTGCGAGTGCGGACTGGATGAAGGGTCACCGGATCACATTTTTTTCAATTGCCCAAATACTCCCCATTCCCTTTACGATTTCTTACCCGAAGATATCCCACGTCCGCTTAATATTAAACTGCTCTTAAGGTCTAATAAAGAGGCCCCAATAATAAAAACACTAACAAAATTTATCTGTATCAATAAATTAAAACTCTAACATAGCTAATCTGTGTGTCTAATATCCACTAATTATGTCCTGTATATGTTTATAGGTTAAATTAAAATTGTGGCGTCCAAAGTTTATGTTGTGTTGTTTTAGGTAAAGCGACCTAGAAAGAGATTAACTACCTATTCCAAATTGATTATATTAATCTATTATACCGTGTAGTGGTCTCCTACGTGAAATTGGCAGGATTGTGGTTAACACATAATAACCATTAAAATAGAAGAAGAAGGAGTTCTTGTGTCTGACTCTGTCACTGTCACAAACTCGTAGAGTAGAGTACCTACCTACATTGTTCTGTGGTCACAAGCAACAATCAGCGTATCAAGTACTCTTTGGTATCAGTGAATGTTTTGGCAAAATCCACAAGAGCAACGCCATTAATTAAAAAGAAGAAGAAGGCTGTTGTTATATTTTGATGATAAAAGATATGTAAATAAAAATTAATGTATAGAATTACCAATTCTATCTTTTTACATGGATTTACCCACAAACGACACGTTAAATGGTTGAATGAATGTATTGAAATCGTGTAATGGTCTCCTACGTGAATTTGGCTGCATTGTGGTGACTCAAAGTGCCATTAAAGTAAAGAAGAACAAGAAAATTAATGTACTGAAATTGTACAAACTTTAGAAATATGGAGGAAGAAAGCCAGTGTTATATAATTTCATTGCCTATTGAAGTGCTAACTTTAATACTGCGAAAGTGTAAATCTCAAGATATTGTGGCTTTTGCTTCAACTTCTAAAGATTTCAGGGAGATAGTTTTAAATAATCAGACGCTTTGGAAGTATCAATTCAAACCCGAGTATGTAGAACTTTATATGTTTTTTCTAGCTTGCCTTGTGTTACGAAACAAATTTATTGTTAATTCTATTTTGGTAAACAATCTGTATAGTACTCATTAATTGTTTGTTATAACTCCCCTTTAGAATATGATTTCACAATTACAAAGAATACCTATGTCATGAAATTTTTATTCAGTACTAATCAATATCTATTTTATATTTCTTCATCATGAATTCCATTTTTGGTAAACAATCTCTATCTGTCTCATAACTATAAGGGTTATTCTCTCTCTCTCTCTCCACCCTCTCCCTCTCTCCTCCCTCTCTCTCCCCTCCCTCTCTGGCTCTAGACCTCATACATTTTTGAACTGTTAGTATGGCTCTAAGTATTCTTTCACAATTACAATAATAGTATTTTAAAAGTATGTTATGAAATTGCTATTCTTTTAACAATAAACCATATTATTAATTCACTGGGTAGGGTAAAATAACCAGTAGCCTGGAGATAACATATGTTCAGCTTAAGTAACATAACATAAAGAAAATGTAACATTTTAAAGATTTTAAATGAACAAAAACTGATTGGTTATCGTCGCAACCAATAACAGGTTCTGCTTACCAACATGTGACCTCACACATAAACCGGAAGCTGTCATGTCAAATTAGATTTATTAGAGATACACAAATTTTGTATTTATAGGTCATTTTTATACAATTTGTAGCTCATTTTTATAAACAAACCAATCAATACAAATACAAAACATATAATTTAACTTCAATTTCTCTTCTGTAATACTATTTGTTTACTTTGTAAATAAATAGTTGATAAATAGCTTATGTCGTTTTGACATATTTACAGGTATGTGACGTAACAAATACCATGTGATCAGCGCCATTACGTAGAGTAGATTTTGGCATTAGGCCAGTGTAAAGGATCGTGGCCCATCCCCCTTAACCATCCATAAGGAAGGCCTGAGCTGGCCAGTGGGGACGTAAACGGGCTGATGATGATGATGATGATGAAACGAAATATGTCACATTTCACCAGTACTTAGCCTCATGTACACCACATCTATGTTGTCTATGTCTTATCCTGATGTTGGCCTCTTACCCAGTTACATAATCTTGTATATTGGACATTAAAATTCTTTAATATATACATTTTCATAGACATCAGATAAACTAGCACATTCAGTACATTTCAAATAACCACAACTAATATTCTTTAAATTTTGTAATTCTGATTTCTTATTTTTTCTTGCTCTGTTCCTTTACTTCTGATTTCTGCTTTTCAAACTTCTTCTAAACATTATGAGGTTCTATAATTCAAGATTTTTATGCAAAAATAAAGAAACATAGAAACATATATTTGATCAGATGTCATTTACATGTACATAAACCAAGTTCAACAATATTTATATGACTTAAAAAGTATGTAAAGGCTGACTACTGGTGTGAGGCTGACTTCTGGATAGTTTATCTTATGCACTTTTTCTCAATATAGAACAGTAAACTATGAAAACAACATAACTCCATAATGACAACCTCATAGATAAAATGCACTACAGTAATATCCCAATATACTCTAGCCTGTTTTATGCGAATGCAGATATACTTTGTTTTCCATAGCACACAAACAAAAACAAAATTAGTCTATTGAACTTAACAAGAAACTAAACTGACTAGGTATTATCAAAAACTGAATAAAAAATTATGAATTGGCATAGAAATCTTCTTAATTCAATTTGGTAGCTTTGGTTACATAATGGGTATAACTCATTTAAACTTTCAATTATTATATCTCTGTTATTTTAAGAGAACATGATACATTAAAATCTTTATAAGATTAATAATAATAGACATTTACAACTTTCTGCATTATGAAAGTCTTGAGCAATTTAAATTTGACAAATGGTTAGTTAGTGTACTTACAAACCTTATAAGGCATAATAATATTAAAAAATTAATTTATTTATTAGGTATATAAAGCTTCTTAAAATATTTTTGTTGCATGAGGTTGGGAGGGAAGATGGTATAGTTAAATTCTGCTTATGTAATAATGTTATGATCCTTAAGTTTGTTTTTGGATTTCAGAATACCATATTATATGTTTGAATCATTAGAGAAGAATGGAGATGGTAACTGGTTCTTTGAGATAACAGAATTTCATTTGTTAAAAAAACGTATCATGAAAGAAGTGCTTGATATGTCTCCAAAATATTATCGGTAATGTAAATTCATTAACATAACTTTTAAATGTCAAATTGTAATACATTGGTTCTTATTTAACACTTAAAAGCATACAAAAATAAACTATTTTGTGAAAAATCTTTTAGGCGATGCGGTCATTTGTCATTAGAAGATGTACGGTCTTTTTTTGACATTGCTCTGTCAAGGAATGTGAATTATTTTTATGTTATTTTTATATTACAAGATTTAGTCAGAAAAGCAAAAAAGAATATACATGATGACTGTGCCAAAAAGTGAGTTATTTAGATACTTATATACTATTTTGGGGTTCTCCAGATAGATTATATTATTGACGATATTTTTTTTGTAGACCATATACAATGACTGAAATGATTTATGCTAAAATAATCCTACGCCATCTGATTCATACGTTTCTTGCTGTGAAATGGGTTAAGTCTCGCATGAACAATAATGATATGCCACCAGAATTTGTTGTAAATTTCTTTATGCAATGGGCTGATTCTTATAACTGGCATCATGAAAATGATATTACTGTGATGGTAAGGACTATTTAATTATATTATACTGATATGTAAGTTATGTTTTGTATCCCTATTTCAAAAACTTATAAGCTTTGATAACTTTGTAGCTTATAGAATTATTTCCATGCTTATTATATTCTTTAACGTTTATAACAATATTAAATAATATGTCATAAATCAACAGATCGATCAGATCGTTAGTAGAGTACAAAATGTATTGGATGCTCAACAACCACGTTGGGCTTCACTCAGCATAGCAGAGAGGATCGCTTCGAAAGTCCTAAATGAAAAGCAAGTGCTGTCCACAATCACCCAAGTTTTATTTCCTGAAAGAAACATGCGGATAACAGCCCTTGTAAACTTGAGTACTCTCAGTGTCACTCAGGTACAAAAACTTACATTTCTAAAAAGAGTTATACACTATAAAAGAACTTTTTCTGGCTGCAAATCATCAAGTGTTGCATATTAACAAGATTTTGTATTTTTGCAGGCGCTTAAATATAATTGTGCGAGTTTTATTACTATGGCAGTAATCTACAATGCTGTAGCAAATCGTTGCTGCGTAGGTTGTAAGCTGGTTTCGTTTCCCAGTCATCTGTTCCTGGAGTGGCGTGACATGAGCGATATAAGACAGACTGTCCCATACTCGATCGATCTTGGCTCGGGTGAACTGCGCCCAAAGCGTCGTTGTCCATTCTCCAAAACGGATCACATTGCTACTTACAAATATTGCCCAGATTCTCTTCTGCAATATATTTACTCGGTATTTAATTCGTGCAAGGAAGGCGTCAGGGATTGGTAAGACTTTAATTTTAATGACAAGGATATTTATGCGGAGCTTATGCGGGATGCGATAGTGTAGCTTGCTGTGAGCTCTTATTAATTATTTACTTGACATTAATGTTTAATAAAGATAATAATAACAACAGAGGCTGCAACTATGTTGCTATTGGGAGACGCGATAGTGAATGCTTCTCTTAAATGAATAAAATTGATGCTTAATATAAATAAATAAAAAATATTTGACATCGTCACATTCTTTCTCATATTACAAGTAGCTAAAGCACTTGTATGTATTTCTATAAACCTGAGACAACGACCACAACACCCAGATCTGAGACAGTATAGAAAAGGTCAATTTCTACATTTACCTGACCAGGAAACGAACATGAAACTCAGAGATAGCACCATCACGAAGGTCGTCATTATCCAAGAAACATTATCCATGTATTGGATAATGTTTCTGTTTCAAATTGTCATGAGGCAGCAGAGAGAACTTTTAGCTAACAAAGTGTTATAGTCTTTTCGTCGTCTTAAAACAGGATCAAAAATTAATTAACATCAAAATTCTTAATATGGTATTTATTATGTGAAATTTCTGAAACATATGCAGGCATAATCTGCGCTGCGTCATATGTCTATAAGAAAGCTCTTAAAAGTTAATGCTACTGTTTTGTCTACATTTATATAGATATAGTTATAAACTGAAAATTCTATCTTGAATATCTCTATGCTCGCTTTGATAACAATTTGCTTGCTTCACCCAAGAAACTGTGGCGTAGTGGATAACCGCCGCGGCCGGCGATCGTTGTTGTCGAGCAACTTTCGCAGGGGTCGATCACGGGGTGGGTTTTATCCCAAGCTACTCCGTGCTTCGGAAGGCACGTTAAGCCGTTGGTCCTAACTGCATTTGCAGTCGTTAATGCCTTCCATTCCGCATTTAGCCAGCGTAGGGGGTCATGACCCATCCTCCTTAACCATCCATAGAGAAGGCCTGAGCCTCTACAGAGTGGAGACGTAAAAGGGCTGATGACGATTCAAGAAATTTATTTATTTAGAGATAAGAGTAATGACTATATTAATCTAATTGCAGGAGTAAACAAAACTCAACGCACCTGTTAGACTTCCTGGGAAATAGATACAGCGACTTGAACCCTTACAGAAATTTCCTCACTCACCTTAATGGAAACCCTCTGATGTCTTCTATGAATGCAGATCTCGATATAACAAATGTAATATTGATTATTTATAACTCTTATAGATATAGCGTATTCACTATATGCGAATTAGTACATTATTCTTTAATTATTTATCCTTTATTTCTTGTTTGTTTCAGTTACAAGATGAACAAATTCAAATTATTAGATCTCTAGCTTATTTGAATACACCTGTCGAGCCTATCCAGAATGAAGTAAGTTCCTAATGAAATTTCTACCAATATTCAAATAACCCTCCGTCGCTGTTATTGATACGCACATTTACAAATAAATTGTTATTTTCCAAAAATTCATGCAATAAATTAACAAACCAGGGACAAAACAGATTTTTTGAGTATTTTATAGTATTGTGAATGCAAAATTGAACACATAAAAATTAAGAGTTATTAAAATATTATAACAATGTTTTGCAGATTATTTATAAATATTACAAAAAATAAGAAATAATTTATCTCTTGCATGTTGAGGTATCTATACTTTCTATTTTCATATGGCATCACATGGATGTTATTAAGATAAAGTTCCAGCGCATAACAATTCACGGGACTTCCACCAGAGGTGTTCGTAACGACTAAAAATCATTGACACGCTATAAACTAATGATATTTTTAACGTGTTAATGAAGGCGCGAATTATAACGTGTTAATTCAAATAAGCGTAAATCTCGTAACACTTTGTAGCGCGCTAAACCTTGTAACACGTTAATTATTTTGGGTTGTACGTTAAATAGATTACTCATTATTATTTAGTCTAAATAGTTCGAAATAAATTATAAATTAAAAAAAATCGATAAACTCTCCTTCATACCTTTCAGACTTAGAACTATATATAATTCAATTGTAGGCGTTTTTAAAAGTTAATTGGTTATATGAACAATAATCTACTATGTACATTTGCTATCATATATTTTATTCACATTATTTACTCAAAATATTCAAAATATCGACTTAGTTAGCTTTGTTAAACACAGGAGATAGGATCGCGCGTAATAATTACCTGCTTAGCGTGCTCCGAGTATTAGCAGTGACATGTCTGCCAACGATCGCTTTCACGCGTTAAGTGCGCGATACGATACAATACCAGTTCTATTTTAGCTGGAATTGCATCGTATGTCACTTTGTAGAATAGAAAAACCATTAAAAACTGTAGTTTCCTTCGGTTTCGATCCGTTTACGATTCGATTTAAACAAAATTTATTTAGTAGAATTGGCCCCCTGGTCTAGTTTCGTTCGTTTATTTGGTCGTTGAATCGTTATGGAATTTCACGCGTATATCGTGTTAGCGCTTGAAATTCTATGCGCTTTCGCGTATACCTACTTAGCAGTGTTAATCGTTAAGAGAGAAAAGCGTTAATTAACAAGCTATACGCTAATTTAACCACCACTAACTTCCACCAATGTGTTTTTGAATCGAATTTAATACAACTTTTTGCTGGAGTCCTTGTGGTGCAACTGCCACGTTTACAACATGCTTAAAATTTAGTTAAGGAAACGCAAAGTCAAAACTTCCTTGTACTTTTCAGCTTCTATAATAAATACGAAATTTAAATAATGATCATATTAAGAGGGTAAGAAATAATAGAGTAATTTACAACTGATATACCTGTGCAGAAGGCTAAATTTAGAAGTGCGGCAAATTAAGTACTTAGTAGTTAAATGAGTAAGTCCGCACACACGCGCGCGCTTGTATGTGTGAATGAATTTGTGTTTATAGTAGTTGCAACTATTGTACGGATACATTTATTATTTGGCCTAAAACAAGAGATAAAGAGACAGATAGATATCTCGAGAGGCAAAACGATCGAACTAAATATTTGTTTACTTCAGGTTTTAGTGAGAAGGCGTAACGGCCACGTGAAGTATGCCGTCGGAATGGTGTGTTGCCACAAGAAGTTCGACTACGTGGGCGTCATACGCGGCTGGGATCACTACTGGGTACACAACTTAGCTGATCGTATGGAGATCAATCTGAATCTGCAGTATGGAATAAAACAACCTTTCTACTTCGTCACCGCAGAGGATCAATCGAGTAGATACGTCGCTCAAGGTATAGCTTCAGATATAAAGAAAAGGAATCTTTTCTTTTATTCCGCGTTATCAGATGTTTATTCATTTTGGGAAATTATGCACAGCTTTGAACTAAATTAATGCGTGTAATCTTAGGGTTGGTGCATATCGGAGGGAAAACGCTCGCTTCAAAACTTACATATCGTATACTATTCGACGGAACGTTGCGTACTACAGTATACTTCTGTGAGATGCTTGTCGGATCTTCTGTCATATTTGCGCCGACTCTTAGTAGGTTATCAGGTGCAGATCCTCAAAAAGGAACCTACCTGCAAAACAGGTCATAAGCGAGTCAGGGTATGCCGATATGCTCCTACGCAAAATAATACATCCCTACAAAGGACATGTCTACCAAAATCCTGATGAAGATTATGTACAGTGTTTAGTAGTTTCAAATGGGCATCATCCTCAGCAGACCATGAAATTTGATGTCACAATTCTATTAGGGTCCCATCATGCCAATAAAGGTGGATCCGCCTTTCTTGCATAATACCATAATTTACTGTTTCCAAACTATTGAACGAGGATACTTTGTATTATTTCTGTTCTTTAACATTTATTTATTAAAACAACATTTCAGAAAACCTTCTTCACATTACTCATCCCTGTCGCTTGGCAAATCTTGAAGATACGATTGCACGTGAATTTACGCACTTCGACGGATTTGCGTACGTGCCCAACGACCAGAAACTCAAGGAGTATCCTGACGACCCATACATTGTCAATGTTTTTCGCTACAGATGCAGACTTATGCCTTAAGGTGTGTAAATGTTTTTGACAGTTTTATTAAATTTTTTTGAGGAGGTAGTTTTACATTTTTTTTTTTTTGAGGAGTCGATAGTGCGATTTGCTCGCTCGACCTGCGATGAGGTTTACTTTCGCAATGGCCGGTCGTAAGATGGGTGAAGAAAACTTTATTATTTCGAGCTCCTCCGTACTTCGGAAGGCACGTTAAGCCGTTGGTCCCGGCTGTATCTGCAATCGTTATCACCCACCAATCCGCACTGGGTCCGCGTGATGGGTCATGGCCTATTCTCCCTATTCGATTTGATCCGATTCCATCTATAAGGAAGGCCTAATGTTGATGATGTTTTGTGTTTAGTTTGTTTCACAGATAACCTCCAATAGATGCCGCATTAAAGACAGTGAGCTGTTGCGAAGCATCTATGATTCTGCATAGATCGTTTTAACAAAAGTAGTAATACGCGTATGCGAATCCTCAACCAAGTGTTTGATCGGTGAATATATGCTTTGACGAGAAGACTTCTCTTTATAATAAAGTAGTTATTAGGTTAATTATAGAAAAATCCAAAACATTTAACTTTAACAGTAATATAAATTTTATATGTATTTTTATCTCACGGAGTTCAAGTTATAGTGGACATAAAAATAACTTTATAGAAATGCAGCACGCGTTGATGTTTTCTTGAAACCCATCCCTTTCTCTCATTACGAAATTAGTATGTTTTTTTTTCATTCTTATAAAATTAGTATCGCTACTGTATGCTTTTTCTAGGTCTAATCGATATCGATATTTCCATACGTAAACATAGTCTTGGTATTGTTACTGTTACAGGAAAAATTTGTGCTCAGTGCGCAAATTAGTGCACAAAAACACCCCGAAGTTAATAAACAATAGTTGTCTTGTACCTAAAGTACCTATGTTAACTAGTTTAAGATATTTCAGAACCTATGTAGTTTAGATTTAATTAATAATTTTCATCCTATTTAAATACTTGTTCATTATTTAAAAGGCCAAAGATTGCAACTTTTGCATTTTTCGACAAAATTAACCCCTTTTTGAAGATTTTACTTAATATTTTTATGTGAGCGCGGTGGTACACTCATTTTTACTATCAACTAATTTAAACGTATTTTTTTCAAAATCGATTTTAGAAAGTTATTCTTATCGACTGATTGAAAGTTAGTCACTGAAGCCGTGCCGTTGGATGCCTTGTCCATCAATTAGTTTATAGTGCAATTAAATAAAAATAAATAAAATATATTTTAATGACATCTAATACTAACATATCGATCAACTATCGACATGCCTTCAACACATTATGGTTCCCATCACTTTACAGAATACGTGTATTTGTACTAGCCAATAGCGTTGCCGCAGTCACCTCACCCGCCACCTACACCATAATATTGGCATCTTAATTTATTTAACAAAATTGTCATCATGCGGTATCTATTGGAGATTATCTATGGTTTGTTTGTTAATATGGGTGTAATCTTGCAAGCCAATTTTGACTCACTTCCCGGTGTTCGATTGAGCTGAAATTTTGACAGACGTGTAACTGAGATAGCAAAATTTTTTATTAATAAAAAAATCTTATCTGTCTATGGAGACAGAAAGTAGCTATGAGACCTCTAATTAAACGAAGCAACCTAATTGTGTTTGGGTCTATTTATTTGTCTCTACATTAGTCTGAGATAACATCCAGGATCTGGAATAAATCATAGCGGAACTGAAAGGTTGGCATGGGCACTGTAAATCACGCACGCACTGGATGTGATCCTGCAGACCGATGTAAATAATCTATTAGTAATAATGTCACTTATTATATTTTAGTGCCATATGTGTCGTGGTCTGTTGTTCATTCTGCAGAGCAACTCCGTAAAAACCCGAGCCCCCATTAGAATTCACTCAGATGTCCTAATTCACCCTTGAATGGATATTTACGTTTCGTGGCATAAGTGAAATGAGTTTCGAAATAACATAGTGATAGAATATCTGAGACACGTATAGTCAATCAATTTCTTTTCTTATTTTTATACAAAAAATACAAAACAAAATTGAATCATTAGATTTTCTATAATAATTGTCGTGAATCCGGACACGCGAGTGAATTCGAATTTGGGTTCGGATTTTTACGGATTCGCTCCGCTGATCTTGAAATTGATATTATTACTTTTTACAGAATAAAAAACTATGTGACAGAGTGATACTAGACATAAATGCAGTGCTACCGGACAAAAGGAACGCGTCTACGAATTTTATCACAAAGTATCATATCGCTCACTGAATAGTACAGTGGCACAACTCAAAAACCATAATTTCGAGAAACGCTCCCTGAAGTTATGAAAATTTAATATATTTATAATTATGAAAATCATTTTTTTTTGCATAACAGTTAAATCGTTTGTATTATATTATTACTGTTATGTTTTTTAATTTTTTCTTTAAATTATCTATAGGATGCCACCGCAATGTTGTGGCGTTTTCTCGAAATAATGGTTTTTGAGTTGTGCCACTGTACTGTTTAGTGAGCGATATGCTTACTGATGTACAAGTGGATTTTTGAAACTGAATTATAGTTGTAAGTAAACGTCCCCAAGAGACCTAAATACCTTACATAAATTACTTCATACGTACACCTTGACGAATTATAATAAAGATGATAGATTGTTTATGATAAAAAAGAGTTTATTGCTAATTTACAAAAAAGGCGAGACACTTCTTTAATGCTTATAATAAAAGTGTTTATAAGAACGCGTGGGAAATAAAAAAACTTGAAATAGGATCGTAGGGCATAAAACATTTGTTTTTGATATTTTAGCTGATTGTACATTATTTCCCAAAATCTGTAAATGCAGTTCAGTACTTTTGAAAGATGTAGGTGGCCTCATAATAGTTAAGACAGCTGCCCTTACCGTCATGTCTCAAAAATACATCCTGTATTTTTGCATTAAATGAGCTCAGGTTTTAATGAATTCGTAACATTACTTGTTTTAGTTAAATATAAGTCTGATAGCAGACCAAGCCGAGGAAAAAATATGAAACAATTTTTTTAACCCATTTAAGCCTCTTGATTAATAAAATGAACAATATATCCCTGTATTCCTAGAACTATTTTAACCTACTTGTTACATAGGTCTTTTAGTCACGCTGAAACAAAGTCAAAACTTGCTATGATTCACTATCTTACTTATAGTAAATGGAGGTAGAATGCATTTCCGAGTGAAATGTAGAAGTTAAAAATTATATTTTTGTTTCGTTTTAGAATAATAATGATTGACATGTGAGATAACAATTTAGACGATTCGGTTCATACTGACCTTTGTAGTTAGAGAGAGTCGTATAAGCATTCTAAAATTCCTTTCTTTCTACTCCTTTAACGAGTTCCATTCGGATTAATTTGGATTTACCTTAATAGTCTTGTCATATCAAGAGTTTCACCCCAGAATGAGAGGTAATAGCTATATACCATTAATATACTTTCATTTGTTTTTCCAAATGTCAGTTTTTTATAAAATATTGTGATCGCATCGTAAGTTATTTTAAGTTTAGTATGTCACTAATAATGGTCCATAGTAAGTAATATGAACACGTTTACACGGGTTACAAAATGACTGCATTTGTATGAGATTATTCTTATGGGGGCGGAATGGGCCAGAAGAGGAAAGACAGACACGATGCCGTTCCCGCTGCCCGAAAATCAACACAAGATTTATGAGACAACATTTAAAATACTAAAAGTGTATAAGACTACTATTATATTCCATTGTTTCTGAAATGTTTTGTTTTAAAATACTAGACTATAAGGTCCATTATATCGTGTTTTGCAAATATTCTCAACAGCATATTGTTTACACCATTGTCAGATATTTAACCAATTGGTTTTAAATTTATTACGCTGGAAGTAAAGGTCTAAAATTGATCACGGTAAATAAAAATTTTTTGGTAACATCATATGCTGCTGGGATAATTACAACCATAGTGGTATCTTGATAAATATCGTGTACAGTTATCATAGTATTATATTTATGTCTAATAATAATCTAATGTCTTTTTATAAGTTGTATCTTTTCCATGCACGGGTGTGCATTGTATGAAATCTTATTAATAAAATGTTATTATTAAATTGTGTTTTTTTTATACTTGTGGCGTGATATATATCGCACACCTAGATCTAAACTAAGACAACTCAAATAACTAATGTGGAGGTCTGACAGTACATTTGTTTACGTGGCAGGAGCGCAATCACTTCATTCAACAAAAGAAAGCTAAAGTTATCTAGTGGCTCATCCCCGAATCTTTATTGAATCTGTTATGTTGGATAGACGCGTATGATTACCGAGTATTTGAATATTGTACTAAGTCAAAACTCTTTGAGTTGTCTCAGTTTAGATCTAGGTGTGCGATATGTTACCAGATGGCATTGTTTTTTAAATCGCGCTAACACCGTCGAAACTACTTGTCATATATTCACTGAGGAAGAAAGGGACGGGCAGCCGTTCCAAAACTCGCTTTCGTGATGCCTTGAATATACTGATAGGGTCGAGGCCAACCTAGACATTCTAGAACTGGTATCGGCCCCTATAAATATACCGTAAACTACCTACTCGTCCCGGCATTAAAATTAGGTTAAACTAGATAAATTTGATACTAATCTTATTATTATATAATATTCGGTCTAAATACCTAATCCACATTTTTATTTATTGCAGTTTCCTAACTTCGTTGTGTTAAAGTCAAATATTATAATGGAAGAAAAATACTACGGTCTCTAAATTTTGGGTGTATGGCCGAAAATGCTGTGATTTTCGGTATAGGTGGATCTATTATCTTGCCTGGTATTGTGATATACTTAGTACGTGGATCTATACTAGTAAATACCTCACCTCATTACGTAATAAGAGGTAAAATTAGATTAGTAGATGTATATTACTAACTAGTCAATCTATTAAAGACATAAACATCGTTTTTGTATACTTGCGCCTTATTATGAAATCTGACAGTTGAGGGGTATAGAAGCAAAAGCGCTTCAGTCCAAAAATGTTGTTTTTTACACTGAGCACACCAAATTGTAGCGATAAAAAAATGCTAAAATATATTATAATCGGCACCATACAAATCCACCTCAATCTTACATAAAATTCACTTAGAAAGTAGCGTTTAGATGCAAAACCGCTTCGATCCAAAATTTGTTAGGAGCAAATCCGCCTCGATCACAATCAACCAACCAGAACCAGCCATTTCAAAATTTCTAAGATGGCGAATTAGTTACTTTTCATAGTAAGTTGACTGAGCATAGCGCGTGTTTAATTTGTGTTTTTTATTAAATAACTTATTGTAATGGAAGAAAACATTACACCAGCACGTGCTGGACGAGCACGGAAACGTCTGGTAAATAAAAGTCAGTGGCGAAGAGTGAAGGAAAAAGCAGAAAGGTAACAAACAATTTACTAATATTTTGGCCGTTATGAAAAGGTAAAGTAGGGTTTGCATAGAATGCTTCTTCTAAATTTTATTTCAATTTTCTTTAAATTAATTGTAAAAGCACGTAACGTACTAACATTTTATTTGCGCTATACTGAACAGTTTTTTCTGCTTTTGGTAATGGGTTTTATTTTCATGTGCTTAAGGTACTCTGCTAAAGATCTCCCACAACTACCTGCATGTCAGCACAACAAAAAAAATATTTACGACTGCAAAAATATAAGTTTGACTAATGCTAAATATTTTCATGACGCTTTTTATGCTAATAAATCAAAAGAAGGTCAAGATGCTTTTCTTTTAAAATATTATGGATTAGCTGATGTTCAACGTCGTCGTCCCAGGCTAGGAACACAGGGGCCAGCACGCCAGGCAAACTACTCTACTAAATTATTTGTAAGGAAACGGAATTCTAATAACTTGCTCCACGTTTGCCAATCAACTTTTTTGGGCATATTGCAAATACCGCGGAATAGAATCCGCAGGGTAGCGGAAATTTATAAAATAACTGGTGGTCTCGTAAAAGAAAATAGAGGAGGAGATCACACATCACATAAAAATGTCCACAAACTACAGGAAGTTAAAACATTTATTGAATCCTTTAAGTGTATAGAGTCTCACTATTGCCTGTCTTCTACCGAAAGGAAATATTTAGATTCGACATTAAACATTAAAAAGATGTGGCAAATGTTTAATAAACAAGCAACGAATTCTGTAAAGCAGTGTTATTTTTGAAGAATTTTTAATACGCATTATAATCTAGGATTTTGTAACCCAAAAACTGATGTTTGCTCGAAATGTACTGCACTGGACGAACAAATTAAGAGTGAACAAAATTCATCAGTTAAAGCAAAGTACATACATGATAGAAAAAACAATTCACAAACGTAAGGCTAAAAAATTCGACGGTTATCAACATGGAGATGGTTTATGACTGGATATCTGCCCTACAGGATATTATTAAACCGCCTGGTCAGTGGCATTTTCAATTTGCGCAAAGTAAGCATTTTTAGTATTTTTAGTATTAGTATATTTTTATAAGTAGGATTGGTAATAAGGTAAAAGTTAAAGGGGAACTCCATTACACATCTGACTTTACCCAATTAAAATCCATTCTAAAAAGAGGGAAATCTTTCAAGGATGTTCTGCCATTGTCACTTCCAAAAAATAATGTGGTATTATAAGCAGAGAAAAAAAATGATGTGAGGAAATTGTTGGAGAAACACTATGGACTGCAGTGGGAAAATCTTAATGAACTCCAATATTACAATAATATTTTGAATAATAATAACAGTGATTCAGTTCAAGAGGATGAGCCTATCTGCGATCCACCCACAGCGGATTCAAATATTATGATTCAATTCTTAGTTTTTTTTACTTTTTTTACATGCGCAAGAATAATATTTTATCTTTACCTTTCATAATTAATTATTATACAATATGATGTCCTGTTTTTAAGTACCTGTAACTAATTTGTTAACAAAATTAATTAAATTCATAATCTTGTAACACATTGTTTTATTTTGCAATCGGTACCGCCATTTATTGACATTTGACAAATTAAATAGTGACATGCAAATTCGCTTCGATCCAAAGCAATGAAAAGCAAACATGCTTTAGTCTAACGCTTAAATGCAAAAACACCTCAGTCCTACATTATTTCTTAAATTATGAAGAATTTATGTATATTTTATTTGTTTTGATTATTGTTATTTGATTAATGTATTCTATTGAATGTACCAAGATCGGATTCTGATAAAAAATACAATTTATTACGACACAGTGGAAATTTGCGGTTTTTCAGTCTAGGAATTTTGTGACTGAAGCGCCTTTGCTTTTATACCCCTCAGTTATAAAGTCGAAAATTGTGAAATGGACAAAATAATTACGTTAACGTGACGTGATTATGAGCTCTAACGCTCTAAGTTAGTGTCCAAAATCGTGTTATTTATAGAAATACTAGATGGATAAAGAAAATTATACAGACCCAACGAACCCAAACTCGTAACACTATCATGTAACTATGGCTAATTCCGACAATAAATTTACACAAATATGTGTGCTGGCAAAGTAAGAATATTGTCTGAACCAAGTGAACCCAATTGGATGAGGTTCGCGACGCCTACATAGCTACATGCAAATGCTTAATTTCATATGATAGAAGGTAAACCAGATGTGAAAAGAAACAACACGTTATTTGTAACTTTAATTTATTCATTCTTGCAGTGCTCAGTAGTTGCTGACAATTTTATAAGAAACGAGATCTTGTAGGTAAACGAATATTTACAAATATGCTAGACTCGCTTTTATTTTCACCATAATGGCACTCCCTATATGATACTAAAATTTGCCTCATTTCTGCCCCTATTTGTTCAATACAAAATGATGGCTATACATCATAAAATCAAATTTAAGTACATATCATCAATAAAAAAATAGTATCTCAATGTTCAGAACGAAGGGAAAACATACTGCGCGATAGTGAAAATAAAAAGATATATTTGAGGAAAAGCGTAAAAAATAAACAAAAATATGTTTCTAATAATAAAATTCATCACAAAATATTATCAATGCCTGGACACAAAATGTTGGCGCCAACAACTTATATGGACGTAGCAATATCATAATAGGGTGCTCGATTCTTCTGACGACACTCCTTAAATTATGTATAAATGTAATCTTTCTCTGAACGGAACCATTGGTACAAAAATATTTTAGTTAAATGATTACTATATGAAGTTCAACAGCACATCTGGTTATATAAAACTGTCAAATTTCTCCATTCAATTTAAAACTTTAGCACGTTACAAATAGAGTTCAGAATCTATTACAAGTCATTTCTTATTTTGTAGCAACCTGACGTGCTGCTTTGTATACTTAAAGTTAAGCAAACAGCAAATTTATTGTGGTTTTTGTCCTAGAAATATCGCAGAATAAGAGACTCATTAAGTATTGTACGTAAAATTAGTTTTTAAATTGTAACAACTGAGCCATTTTATCTCTAATTTAAGGCATCATTACAAACAATATATCAAATTTCAGACCAGCTAATTTGTAATACCCAATTATAGTACTTTGAATAACAATTAAGGGCAATTAAAACTTGTTAGGAGTCCCAGAGAATTAAAATAGATACTAGACAAGTGTTTATTTTGGCCAGTAATATCGCACTTAAGTTGAGACCCCTACACAAGTGAATATGCATGCGCACAGTAAAAAAAATTAAAATGCTTTAAAAGAAATACTAATTACACATTATATTCTATCCTTTTTAATTAATCAGCTAGTTATTCAACACTAAAGATTAAAATTAAATGTGATTATATTTATTTTGCTAATCAAATTATAGTTGGCAGCAAAGTAATATTTTCGTCATCGCAAAAAAAAACAATGTTGATTGTTAATGTACAATTGACATTACATAAGATTACTATAAAAGGCTAATTTTCTCCAATTTTTACGGTTAATAGTTAAGTTCAGAATTAGTTGCAGGAACTTTGCCTTTTATACCAGTATCCTGATGTGTTGCCGTTTGTACTTACAAAACTCGTTCGCCTGAGTTTGAGATCAAGAGAATGCGACGACAAAAAGAACACAAAAACATCCTTAGAGAGAGATTTATATGATTGAGCAGCAAAAATCTACTCTAAAATCTCACTCAAATTCAAAGTTAAAGAAGCAATTATAATAACTAATTTTAAGTATGTTTTGAAATTAATCATCACTAAAAATTTACAGTTTCAAAACTAAAGTTAAAATTAAGCAAAACTTATAAAGTTGGAACATAACTCGCATGTATAATAGTCGACATTTGGATCACGTTTGGTTACATATTAAAAGGTTGAGTGTGACTTTTTAACTGCATGTTAGCGATTGAGGTACACCGTTGACAGTCTTTGATTTTAGAACTCCGTTCTCGAACGACATCACCGTTTCACGACCGTTTTCTGTGACCCTGTAAAAATAATAAGAGAAAAAAAAACATTAAGTCAAAACCCAGATTTAAGGCAAAAAAAATCATTTGTTAAATAGGTCATGAATTGTTCACATGAAAATCGCCAAGAGTTGATTGGACCAGCTTACTTGAATAATAACAAGTTTATTATATTTTGATTAATCGATTCCCATCTCAGGGTGCCAGGGACCAAGTGGATTTTTTAAGCATTTTGTATTAAGAATAACAAGTTTATACTGGTTAAACAAAAAATTAGGTGCACCATTTGGCAATGGTTAGATTAGCTTTATTCAGTGGCGGATTTATCTAAAACTACAGTAGGTCCGAGCCTAGAGTGAATAATGACAAAATATTGTGTGTCAAAAGTTAATCGTTAATATATATTTGCATAAAAAAAATAAATAAAAAAATTTAAAAAAAAGTTAATAATGTATTAAAAAACATCACTTGTAATAGTTACAATGTGGGAGAGTAGTGACAATGATTTCTGGTGCATATAAAGCAAATATGTCTCAAAGATATTATAAAAACAAATCATTGTTAAAATTTGTGAATTGACAAGTAAACTTTCTATATTCTCAAATGTTTATTTATCAATTCTTACATTAAATAAACATATTTATAATATAACAATTTGAATATTTGGTTGGAGTTGAATAGCTTCGAGTGCAATCATATCGATGTTTGATAATTTCCAATTTCATAACCACATGAAAAGATACATTAAGTGTTTAATCGTGTTTTGTAATGGCACTATTTAATAAATACATATATCTAAAAGCACATTGCACATAGAAATTAAACTTATTTCCAATGAAAACAAGTATTATGTATCTATATACATACATATAATAACACTTTCGATCAATAATACAACAAGATAACGCCACTCAAACTAAAACAATACTCAAATACGGCACTATACACAGGCACAGAGTATATTCCTTGAAAATACTCTAGGCGACAACTGAGCTCCAGAACTGGGAAATTATGGAGCAGCATTGTCAATTTTATTTTTCTTAGTAAAATATACGTGTAATTATATACGCCGATAATTTAGGGAGGTAGGAGGTTTTCAATTTCAATAACAGTACATTTATAAAACACAAATTCCACAAATAAATTTACCTTATTTTTTTATTAAAAGCATACTTAGCTTTCTTAATCTTTCTTAAGTCTTAATCAATTTGTTTTATTCCAAAACTAAATCTACAATAATTAACAACAAAATCAACTTCTATCTTCATTTTAGTGCTTTCGTTAATTCAATTACTTATCATGGATTAAGAACAGTGTATGTGATGTTGTCTAATAGTTACTTATTACTATTATCTATACTTCTATTGATATTATAAATTATATAAAACTAATATTATAAAGAGGAAATAAATATTTTGCATCTAATAGACTCGGAAACTTCTAGGTCAATTTTAAAAATTCTGTCATCTACGGGAAACTACATCGTATGTGGTGAACATAGACTATATTTTATCCCGAAAAACAGCAAATAAAGGTATGAACATGGGTGTAGAAGTTTGGATAGGGAATTAAAACGTTGCTGTAGTAACCATTGTATACTATTCAATTTGACATTATATTTATATGACGTGTCATGATATGAATTGATATCCAAATAAACAGTTCCCTAGGGACCACGCGGGCGAAACTGCTAGCGGAAAGCTAGTTCCTATTATAAGCGAGCATTAGCTCAGTCAGTGCGCTATTTTAGGACAGGATTTAAACAATCATCGAAAAGAAGACACGCTAAGCCGTCAGTCCTGGCTGCATCTGCAGTCGCTAACCGCCACTTATCCCTTCCTATTAGATTCCATTCCAGCAGAGTGACCACCTAACTCGCTTGCTGTAATTATATAATTCTAGCCATAGCTATAAAAATGCCTTTTTTATTTTTTTATTTACATATTTAATCAATGGTTTTGGTTGTAGTAGTTTTGAGTATTATAATATGTAATAATATAATATAAAATTTATAAAACAGATTTATAGATATAGCTAGATTTATAGCGAGAATTAGATCACTGCCCTGGAAGGCCTGCAGCTATGGGTACAAGCGACTCACTTTTTGGTAGTGATCTTCTTTCCGTTGACGATACGCGTGGTGGTGGTGGTGCTTCGCATGTTGGCGCTGCCTGGGCCCGCCAGCGAGCTGTTGAACGTGGAGAAGGAGGTGAAGGTGTTCCCGTTGGAGGCGGCGTGCGCGAATATGTCGTCGAGGCCGACGCCGCGCATGCCGAAACCGAACGGACTGAACAGCGACGACGTCAGCGACGTACTCGGCTGACTGCGCCGCCCGCCGCCGCGGTGGTGGTGACCGTGACCGTGACCGTTGATCTCTGATATTGAAAAAACATTCACTTAATATCTGTCACGTTCTGGGCTCGCAAAACTTGGTTGATATACTGCCAGTTGCACAAACGTCCATTAAAATTTTCATTTATTTAAAGTGACGTTACCCATACAATTTTGACATTCATTAGAGCTTAAAAACGTCATTAAACCTTAATGGACGTTTGTGCAACTAACAGATAATTAACCAGGAGCTGCAGTCTTGACAAAGTTTGCGATCTAATCCTACTGAATTCGTTCGCTAACTCATAGTCATCGTTGATAATTTAACGACTATTGCAAAGTTAAGTATAATGTTAGACACATGCCGAGTTCAACTGTAAAATTAGGGATATTAATTAGTTTCCTAACGATCTAGTTTGTCGGTGGTCAGTGAACCTTGCGATCACTACCAATATCAAGATGCATGCCCAACTCGTAGGGAAAACCATACATTTTTTAAGAGAATTCCCATTTGGGTTTCAGTTAGTTTTCAGTCAAAATCGACATTGTTAAAGCAGATTAATTATGGGCAAATCATATGCTGAATTTTCGCCCTTCCGCATCAGTGTAATACAACACACAATTGACGCTACTTGTTCCTTTTACTTTTTTTGACACTTCAAGAAAATTGTTGTGCTGTATGATTATGCAAATATATGTACATACAGTTATCTATTTATCTTATTATTTCAATTCCAATCAAAAATCACTATATATTTATAATATTGTTACGAGTTCGAGTTCTGTATAAAAATCAACGCCAATTAAATTCACAATCCGACTTTATTTACTAGACAAAATCACAAAAATAAACCAATAACCAAAACACACACTTTAATTCCACTATTCACGTCACTACGGTCACTTCCTAACACTATTAGATCGTCCAGATAATTCCCGTCACTAGTTTTCACTTCCGATCTCTCTCTTATTCAGTTCAAGACACTGAAAGAATGCCAGGACGTTTAGTCTAACGCATGTTTAAAGGGGTCGATAACCACATCTAGAATTTTCTAAGTTAAGACCTAAAACGACCTAGAACATTCTAGGTTGGCCTCGGCCCTACTGGTGTATTCGAGGTATTACCAAAAAGAATGTTCTAGAACAGCTACCCTTCGCTTTCTTCCCCAGCGATCGTCCCTTTCTCGCCGACCCGATGTAACCTATATGACACACGTAGTGTTACCGCGATTCATTGGCGCATAACGCTATCTAGTAACGTGTAGATAAACCGCGCCGCTGCGCTCCATAACAATATAATCTATTTACAATATATTTGAACTGGAAATTTAATATTACCTGATCATTACTAAGGACTTACACAGTCCAAACTTTTGAAGTTATGTGGTTTTTCGAATATACTATATCTTCGGTTTTTGTTGCGTTTTATATTTAAAAAGAAACTGTTGTACTGAGTACCTTTGCATTAAAAAAAATGTATAATGTATGTATATAAAGAGATAGATTAAAGTGTCAAGGATACATTACTCACCAGCAAATAGTTCGCCAAACGGAGAGCCACCGAAGAATTCTCTGAAAACATCCTCTGGGTCTCGGAATGTGAAGGGGAAACTGGCGTAGCCGAAGTCGTAATCGTCATTCGCTGCAGAGCGCCTACCCCTGCTGTTGTTCAATCCCTCTTTGCCGTACTGGTCATACATACGCCGTTTGCGCTCTGCGATAACAAAAACATTTAGTAAACATCATAATAATAATATATTTTTCAATATGAAAGCAGAGAAATCAATACAATTATCGAATTTGCTGCTACACAATTTTCGATGCGAATATCAGCATAGTTAGTTATATTAAGGAGCTGGTATGTCAAAATAAATTAACACCACTGCTGCGGTGCAAAGGTCACTGCTTCACACACCATGCAAGCCATTGACTTAAAAACCCTGTTTGCTATACATATAATGGTCCTGCCAAAAAGTGAATTAATTGTAAATCTTACGAGTACTTCGACTATGGACATAAAATTTGGCTATCAATCAATAAAACCAACCAAATTATTGAACTAAATACTAGACGCGAAATCATAGTAATAATACTAACAATTGCTACATATTTTAAGTTGAAGAAAATTACCGGCCGGCCTTGTAAAGCCCCCAATTATTTTTATGAGTATTGATAGACGCATACTCACTCACGCAACGCGCTAATTTCAATTCGTTCTACTTATTAAAACGACAACGTAATTACTAAAGCTTCTGGCTATTGATAGATTCATAAGCATCTCAATTTTTACACTTGTTGTACGTACGTATATAAACTTTTTTCAGACAAGGTACGAGTAGTTACAATATCTGCAGAAATACCTATGCTCCTAATAATTAGGTTGGGAAAAAGGTCTGTTCGCATATAATAAGCATAAACTATATAAAATCTTTCTGGCTATTACAATCAGGATGATTTCGATATCATTAAAAAAAAAGCAATTTTAAGACAATAATTCAATTTTGAATTAGAAAATGTGTGATTTTCATTTTCTAATTTGCCACTCAGCAAAAATTAAGAAAGTTTGCCCCTTCAGATTTCCACCTGTTTCGGTTTATTCAGGCAGTATCAGGTTAATATCACGCTAGGATTGCCAAAACAACTTGTTGCGGTTTTTTGATCAGAAGCCCAAAAATATCTATAGTAATGGGATCATGACCCTACCTACGAGATGGCCAAAGATATCGAACAAAACGGTTTTTTTAGTTAAATGTAAATAAACTTTATTTGAATTTCATATAAAATGCGAAGAAATTTGTTCTCTAACATATTATGTAATAGTGTTTTCTCTCTTAACAAATACAAAATAGATTAAAATAAAAGTTTTTTGGAAAAATACCATTATACATTTGCCAATTCTCATACTTCTTAACTCTATAATGATTTTAATATTCATATCTAGTGTCAACTAGCTATAGATTTCACTAAATTATAATGTCGAGTATAAACAAAACATCGTTCAACTTGTCTATATTCAGCATAATCTAGATGCTAAAGTATAATGGAGGAAGTAAACAAAAAAAAAGCAACGTATTAGGTTCAGGCTTCATTCTCACATTTTTAAAGCTGTAGAGCCCTCCACAGGAGTTATTTGCAGGATATAATTAGGTTATTAAGAGCGCGTAAATTTAATCACTACTATCACATTGGCCTTGAACAAAGCAAGTAAATTGTTCTAATTTAATTGCAATTAAAAATGAAACAAAACAACTATATCATTTTGCAGTTGAGTTATGACCCTGAGCAAAGAACACATCAAATTTTTTTGAAACTTCAAAATAATATTTTTACGTGAAAATTGATAAGAATAAATAAGATGGTAGGATATGAGCAAATCGTAACTTATTGAAAATATCTTTGTACTCTTCATTCTGCAATTTTATTTTAGATTATTGTTAGCAACGAAATCCAAATCACTTCCAAACATCACAGGAAAATTTCCGGTAACAAAAAGCATTAATCTTATTCCACGCAAAACTGGTTTGTTAGTAACAGTAATATAATTAATAGGTACCTAGGCAGGTTATCAAATGTTCACTTGTTGAATTCTTTATTAAGATATTCTATTTTTGTCAATGTTGATATTACCCAGGAATGGATAACTATACAAATCCACTTCAGTATTCCAGTATGAATAAATCAATAACTCTAAATCCAGTATGTTTCAAAATTACACAATAACATAAGTATATAAAAACTTAAGAGTTATTTGTGGGCAAGCATTGCGGCTTTTAAGAGAGTTCTTGAGGCCTCACAACACATCAGGTGGAGTGTTTACTATCTTTGAATAATCCTGCATAGAGATATTTCTCGAATTTTGAATAAAATTTATCTAAAAAACTAAATCCGTTTAATGAATTACTGAACAATTAAAAAAGTTTGTTAGTCATATTTTCTTTTGAGTGAATTGAAAATAACATTGGATGTAGATTTGATAACATGTTACTTAAATTATTTAACGATTAAAAATGATATTATTTGTAATTGTTACACAGTCCTTTAGTTAGTTAGTGAAATACTAGATATGTACAAACCAATTAGACAAAATTTGATTAATTCAACCTAGATAATCTCAAAATTCATTGCTTAAATCAGTTCACAACAGCTACCGAAAAAACGGTGGAATGGTGTCTCTCCAAAAAACCCCTTGAAGCTAAAGTGCCGGTGCCCATTAACTCCATTCTTGCTTTGGTATCTGTGACTATGATGGCTGGATCCCCTCGCGTCATATACCTTCCGCTTGTTTTCTACCCAACAATAAAATCGTGTTTAACTTAATATACAATCTACTTTCAAGCTATAATGCTATTAAATACTTCTATTAAATAAAGTAGAACGATGTTTGCATACCATAGATAAATGGCTTAAATGACCTTTAAATACTCATCATAAGTTCACTTAACATTCATTATAATATATTAAGATTTAAAATCTATTGATTAAAGTCAGTTTTTGATGACCTCATGATGCTAATTGCACATATATATTAATATTGATTATTCAAATGAGCACGGAATGTAAATAATTAATAAATATAACTGAAAGTAACATAAAACAGGATTTTCAGTTCATATAACAAAAATGAAAGAAAATTCAATTATCTACGCCAAAGTCTCGACCTTTATATCTATCCCTTTCTTACATAAGTAAGAAGTTAAGATAAAATCATTGTCCCATATAATAAGCAATGCATGGTGTGATATGTATTTACGACATGGCTAATAGCTTCGATGGTCCTGGGTTTATGTATTAATTAATGAATTCAATTACATCAATACATTTATATAAATGTGAGTGGACACTTAAAAAGTAATTAAACTGTTCAAATTAATATTCATACCATCTGAGAGAACCTCATAAGCTTCTGAAATTTCCTTAAACCTTCTATTAGCTTCATCTGGATTATCGGGGTTCTTATCAGGATGCCATTTGAGTGCTAGTTTTCTGTACCTAAAATTACGGATATAATATTAATATTTTTTAAATAATATGTGTTCATAGAACTGAAATATGAAAATGTAATTGCACAGAATGAAAGTGTTGCCGATAAAATCATGTGATTTTTATTTTTGTTATTATGTACATCCAAATATTTCAGTCTGTAAAACTACTTGGTTTTGATAGCCATTCATATTTTTGGTACTATATTTTAAATGATGTTTTATTTGTGAGATGTCTTATATGAATTTATTTATTACTTCTTATATATTTATTTCAGCTATGCATATATATGAAAATTAAATATAAGACAGTCTTAGAATATTTCATATAGTATGATTCCATCTTTTTTTTAAATAACATTGAATCAAAAATATGAATAAACACAGATATTAATAAAAGCATCACAGAATGGCATATCATTATTAGGTATACTCAGTTTTTTTTTTTAACTGCACTTAAATCTTATTTAATCCACAGCATCAAACATTTATAGGTCATGGTCAAGGCCACAAAAATGTGCAAAAAGGTAACTTACTTCAGTGTTTCAAAAGCTATGGACATGTAACTCCAGTTGAACAATAAACATGCTTTATATTGTGGTAGATAATTAAAATATACTTACGCCTTTTTAATTTCTGTTTCTGTAGCTACACGAGTCACACCCAATACCCTGTAGTAGTCCACCATCTCTGATCTCCCTCAAGGGGTATATCACTGAAAATACAAAATCATAATACAATTTATTTCAATAGAAGCATTAAGAATTATAAACAATAACAGAAGTTGAGAAAAATATTAAGTAAGACTTTTTAAGTATATTTCATCATTATTTTGTCATAATGTAGTCAAGGTAAACAATGCAGGAGACAAGGTTTATTCAGGTTGTGCTGTATCCTTGACTACAAAAATAAGAAATCTTTTTACTTAAGTATATAACAGAATCATTATTACTAGGATTACATACATATCACGTAGATTACAATAACATAAATTAAAATGCTGCAATGAGGAAAAATAATTATAAATATGACACAAAACTTGTAATAATGTAGTGTTATATTATTTTTATACTTCTAATAGTTACAAAATAACAAGTTAGTAGGAGTGCACTACCCTTAGAGCGTTAAACAGTGCTGTCAAACAAATATATGAAATCAATAAGACACCATTTTGTATTTTTTTTTTTGACAAAAATCACAACCCTTTGTCCATGAGTAATATAAAATGGGATTGTGTGACATTGAAAGTGTGACATAAATTTAAAAGTAGGTTAATTATCCTCAAAACTTTTTTGTAATATACAGTTGTATAGGTGTACCAAAATCTGATGGCAAAAAAACAAAAGAAAAAATTTTGATTTCATATGGGAATATAAATTGTCTACTGTTGACAACTGTCTCATGTCTGAATCATCGAAAGTTCCTTGTCCAACAATTATAAAATGTATGTTGAATATGGAGAAACCCAACCTATACAATATTTCATCTAAATCCCTAGCAATCGAAATAGTCTTAATTTATATGTAAATATCTTTGTTTTCTATATAAATTCTATTTGTATTATCTTTAACAATGTAATCAGATAGATGCACTTAGACCCTTTCTTATTGTTTTATGTAATGCCCCAAAATTCGAAATTGTCATATTTATATTATTGTTTATTTACGTGTAAAGACCATAAACGTGACATTGGCAGAATTGTGTAAACGCATATGGCCATGAATTAAAAAAGAAGTAGAAAAAATCTAAATGATAGAAAAAGACATGCTCTATAAATAAATTAGAAGATCAGATCTTTGCCTCAAAAGGAAAAAAGATAGATAAATTTACAGTTTAACTTGACAGTTGTCCATTTTTTTACATGATCATCGCCATCTGTCATTCATTTCATTTTCAATGCAGTTGAATGAGAGGCCAGATTTTCTGTTAAATTAATTAATTTAGTAATATTTTTATGCAGTGATTTATAATAAATAGGACGTGTTAAAAGAATAATAATAAAAAATTATAACACTTGGATATAGTTAGTTTCTATACTAGATATTTTGATAAAATTATTTACTTAGAGATTGTTTACATAAATAAGTACATTTTAAAATTTGTGTTATAAAAACCCTATACCGTACTTTTATGTTGCCACTATTGGGTATTATAGTAAATGCAACAAGTGAAACAGAAATTACTTGCATGTATGATAAATCAACTCAACAAATGATAACAAAATAGGCATATCAGTCACTGAACACATAAACTACTTCTAAAGATATAATATCAGTACCTATTTTATTATGCATTTCTGAAAAGAGTACATAATAATGGTTAAGATTTTACTTCCTTTAAGTAAAATTCTATTTCCATCTAATATTTTACATATATAAATTTAAATGCAACTTTTATTGTAATTCAAAAACCAATTTTCTTTTGTACTGTTTCATTTTTGTCCACTAAACTTTTTTGTGACATACAGTTGTAGTTTCATAAATAATAGTAAATTCCAAAGACAATTTGAACACTATCTGGTATAGTACATAGACTGATTCATTTATTTCCAAATTTTATTTTAGATTATATTGAATCATAATATTGTGTCAATGACATTGGGAACTATACAAACTATTATTATGCAATTAATGTCACACTAAATATATAATAATGCAAATTTATTTGCTATTATTACAATTTGTGTCTTATATATCAAAATACTACAGAAATATCTATGACTTGTATATTTTACTAAAAGAGACTTTTAGAAGACTATACCTATTGTTTGTTTTCAAAGAAACGGCTAAATATAATTTGTTTTTATTTACATTATGTTTTCCACTTTGTAAATAAAGTTTTTTTTTTATGTATACACATGAAATAAATAAATTACTTGCATGTCATAATTTTGTATTTAATGATTTATTGTGTATGTGATCAAATTACTAGTTTCAATAAAAGATTTGTGAAGATAATTTACCACACAAGGCCACACAAGGCAAGACAAAACTTTACTCTCCCTACTTAAATTATTTGGGCAAATAAAAGTGGATCATAAGTTTGTTGCTTTAGTTAGTAAATGGAAACCATTATGATTTTCATTGTGACCATAATGTTGTATTATCAATGCATAAAGATATAAGATGGTTCAGTGTGCAATGGAATCTTTTTGTATTACCTGACATTATCACAACTATAATCTTAATCACATTCTTGTCATTATTATTCAATTACTATAAATGAGTATGTACGATTCTATAAATTTTCACCTTCTACCTACTTAACGCCTACACATAAACACTGATGATATTACATTGAAACAGTGCAGCAAAGGCTTTTTTGTATTTATCGCACCTGTTTCGTAATAACTAAATTACCTAGTGTTAGCTTCATTTCTTAGTTCCTAGCAATAGTAATAGATAGGTACGAACCTTAAAATAACATTGGCTCTTCCGGTGATTATATAGGTGCCAACAACGGTGGCCAGTGCGACTTTCAGTTATTTGAACACAAAACTTTTCACCACTTAACACACTATCTTCAAAATTTTGGTTTTCTATGGTACAATGATCACAAAAAGCCACTATCACGCTTATAATGTGCACATGCACGTAACGGATGACTGATCTTGTTCAATGACACTATTCCATGCAAGTTACCGTATAATCAAAACACTATAATAAACAAAGACGACAGTTTGTGGAAATTTCTCGCTTGCAAAATCAATAAAACATGGCTTCGAGGCTATATCACAGAAAGACAATGCGGTGTTGTAACGTTTTCACATCCACGAACGTTCCAAGAGCACGATTTCCACCGAACAACTGACAACCAGTGACAAATAAACCAACCATAGACTCTATTATTTAGCTACATGACAGTTCTCAAAATCGCCAACTTCATAGCTATGAAAACAATGAAAACAACCTTATCTTCAACGAAATAAAGTACATATTATTTTTTATCGTATAACAGTGTTGAAAAACTTCGACAGTTGGTTGATATGTTATCGATTGGCTTGCCTCAATATTAGCATTTGTAGTCGAAAAAGAAAAACGTTAAAAAATATCCCATGCATGGTAAATAGTGTAACGATTGCTACAAACAGAGAACTCACAACATGTCGCTATACCTGTACTAGAAAGTTTTGTCACTGCAGGATAAGGCTATCCTATTTACTATCCCCCAAAGGAATGGATTACAGAGACCAAGTAAGAGTTAAATTCGACTGAAAGTTTCGGATTAAATTGATATCCAACAGACATCTCACCATCATCAGCCTATTAATGTCCCTACTGTTGAGGCCTATTCCCTATGCATGTATTTGAATCAAAGTGAATAGGAAGAGTGGACCGTGACCTACCAACGCGGACCCAGTGTGAATTGGTGGGTGATAACGAATGCTGATGCAGCTGGAATCAACGGCTTAACATGCCTTCCCAGGCACGGAGGATCTCGAAATAATAATTTTTTGATCACCCAGCTCTTGCAATCACAAGAATAGCATCCCGCTGCGTTCATTCCTTAGACCTTAGAGTAAATAAATAATAAATCTTCTGTAATTCGGTGGGCCAAACATTTTAAATTTAAGACAATGGGAGGATTGTGAATTTTTTTCTGTTCTTTTCTTTTCCAGGAAAAAATATGAGTACGTATGAATTAAGATAACGGATATGAGATATGAACCTATTCGTTAATATCTATAATTTCCATCTAATAGTTGCTCCTATGTCTACAATACACTGTCTTTTACAAAACTGAAAACTTTGCTTCGTGGAACCTAAAGTAGTTTCGTAATCAATTAGCTATGACAAACTATCGAACAAACAGCACCTAATGACACGCGAGTAATCCTAAAGCCGAGTGGTTCCGTTTTTTTTCTTTTGAGGCTCCGCCCTTGAAAAGGTTGATAGGTGCCTATACTTATTCCCTTTCTAACAGCCGAGACTAAACCAACACAACAGGAAAGGATACGAAATTCTATTGTCAATTGACGAATCAACCTTGAACCCCAATAAAGTAAAGGAATCAACATTCATGCAGCACTTCCTAGTACGGCATAATTTATAGCTATATACTTTTAATCTTTATTATCATATTACTCGTATTTATTTATCTTTGGATCTAAGTTATTATTAAAGAACCTATTAATAATAATCGAGAACCTATTACATCATGTGTTTCTTGTTATGTGACGTAGACTTACAACACTTCTATAGAACGTACGTAAAATATTTTAATTTTCTTTGGCCAAACCAATAACCAGCTTAATTTAATATGTAATTCAATTGCCAAGTCTCTCACATTATAATTATTCAGATGTATCTTATTTTATTCCTTGGATAGTTCAATTTTTGCTAACCTTAAAAATGTTTACTAATATATGATATTAGAGCTAGAATTTTGATGTAAGTAGGATTTGATTCACCAATAATACATTTGCTTGTAATTTTTTTTTTAAATTGATGCACCGCTTTTGTTAATTTTCTGTTCACATTCACAACTCTCCGGACTCGTAGAGGATGCCTTATGGAGTTAAGTCCGTTTGTACATTTTTAATTGCGCTATAAAGTATTAATTATTAGCACGTCAAAATCACGAGATTGTTGTCTCGTGATTTGAAAAAAGACTGAGATGTTTTATTACAATAAACAACAGAAACGCTGATATTAGATGGTGGAAGCGCCAACACATTAAGAATATGAAAAAAAGACAAGGAGGAAGATGGGCCGTGACCCTACAGCGTGGAGAGTCATAGCCCATCCTCTTTAACCACCCCATAAGGAACGCGTCAGCCTTTGTAGTGGGGACGTAAACGGGCCGATGATGACGATATACCCCATATAAGGCAAGCCAATCGAAATCAAGTAGAAATGGCGTCAATGTGTTGGAGCAAAGTAAATAAATATTTCAGTGTTAGAGTATCTATGGGGCACAAACATAACACGCACGAAAAAGTTATTTTTTTTCACAAAAAATATTTGTTCTTCATGCTTTTTCACTGTTTTTTTTTTGTTTGTATATGGTTTATACTTTAAATAAAAACTTAAATCAATAAGTAAGAAAATTAGTGAGAATGATTGTTTTGTTAAACAACTTTCAATCGTTATATATCATAAACTATTATTTAAAATGATAAAAGGAACATTAAGATGATTTTAAAATACCTATTCAACGACACACCACTTGACATAGTTCATCGATTTTTTTTTTCATTTTGACAATATGGCGTCTGGTTGTCGCTGTGGTGAATTTTGATTACTGTCATGTCTTTAGTGACACTCGCAATGTTAAGACGAATCGATTGACGTAAGAATCATCAAAATCGGCCTACGCATTTGGTCTCTAGAACGCCACATAGAAACAAACATACATACATAATATAGACTGATAAAACATTACCCTCTTTTGCGTAGTGCAGTCGGGAAAAAAGGGCGCGCCTCGCATCAGGGCGGGCGGCCGGCGGCGCCCGGCGACCGTAAGGCAATCGTTTGGTGTAGCGATAGTTGGGGATGTAGCAATGACAAACAGTCTGCAGCCGGCTACTACAATCGTCGCATAACTGCTTTCAAAATCATTCTCATTTCAGTGGGCCAATAGGACATTCATAAAAATTTACTATTTTCTCCAGCTGAATAACTGAAACTAGTTGCTCTTAACCTACTAGCTAACTTAAAATAACATTACTTGTCATTTTTTATAACAGTAATTGGATATTATATCTTACAGCTATTTCAATAAGTTATCGAGTGCAAAGAAGTAGGTAGTAAGATGAATCAAAAAAGGTTAGTGAACATAATGACGGTGGGCGATCCGCCCGCAATGGTCCGATCGTGATGCATAATTTAACTTACATTAGTCACCCAGTCCGAGAAAGTTATTTAAGTAGGTACCTATTTAGTACAAGACTTAGAAAAACCGGGTTATACATCCTGTCTTTAGGCTAATTATTTTTTTCTCATTATAGCATACACGGTTGACATAGGCTATAATTTATGCATGCTAGGTCGCTGGGAAACAGCTAGTAATTAAATAAATTGTTACTAAACTAAGCTTGATTAGCTTAACTCCATACATGAAAATATAAGCGCACTATTCAAAAATAAATTTTAATCAGAGCTTTATAATATCTGTGGTTAGTTCATAGATCCACATGTAAGTATTAGTTAGTTTTAGTAAGCAGTATTAGAATAAATAGGCAGCCTTCTCCGAAAGACGATAGAAAGTTATCGTTGCTTCCAGTCAAACTTGACTAACAAGTTCATCCAGTCGGAAGAAGTAATAAAAAAGAGTTATCCAATTTAAACACAATTACTAACACTACGCTTTCCATTTAGTTTTTTATATCCGAATATATATATTATATAGCGTCTATAAAAATAAAAGGTATCAGAAATCCTATGAAGTGATTCTGTGGTTAAAGAGCTCCGTAATGTAACATAATACAGGAGCTGTATAGTAGGTATCTTTTGTGTTTGACTACCAACAGGTTGTTGGTCAACGAGGTCAACAAACTTGGTCTAAATACAAATGGGTTAGTGGGTAGGTAGGACTATGTTTATGATTATCAAAGACGCTGTTTTCTAATAAACAAAGCGGTTGTGTTGAATATAACTTAAGTTAAGGTTCTGTATCTCATCTACACTACACAATAGCAATCCTTATCAGACCAAACGGCGTCGTCGGTGACGTCTGGTATAAAAAAAAACTATTTAGTCAGTCAGTCAGTAATAGAAAATATTAGATACATAGTTTTATTGTTTCAATTTAAACAAGAAATGGCTTAGATAATAGGCATTCAAGATGAGGACTGAGGGCTCGCTACGTCACAGTTTTTTAGAAAATGTACCAAAGTGTGACGTCATGCGACATTTAAACTCAATGTATCGCCGCAATTTATCGGTTACGCGAAAAACAATAAAAAAATACTTGTTTAATATTTTTCATCAATCTACCTGACGGACAAACAAAAAAAAATAGTCGTCATCCCTATTTTCAGTTTCGTATAACGTGCTGTTGACGATGCCACAAAACTTATTTGCGTTTGTAGTGGCGTAACTATACCGTTTCTGACCCGTGGCAAATTCATCGGATATTCAATTTTATTAGTCAGGAGCAAGGAGTCTCCTCTGACCGGGGTCCCCTTCCAGCTGGGGGCCCGTATCATTTTGCCACCCTCTAGTTACCCCACTGTGCGTTTGATAAACCAACCGCCTTCCAACTGCAACTTACGCCGATGTAAGGATGGGACGATATTTTTCCAACGACCAAGTTTCTTTTTTACTTTGATGTCCGCAAAAACCATTTATAAATGACGCTTTGAATAAAGTATACTTATTTTTTTTATTATTTATTTAATTCTTTCCATTACAAAATTTAGATAATCTTAAGTCCCACAAAACTATATTAACAGTTTGTCTGTGGGTGGGCTAGGAGTCCCGTTTTGCGCTACTTGTTTAGTTAAACTTATTCATTTACACATGTTAAGTACAGGCTGTCCATTAAATAGTTCTTATCTTGTCAGGTAAGCTATTTAATATATATGGGACTCTTTTGTTTAGAGTTCTACCACCATAATAATTGTTAACTCTGGGAACTATATATTTACCTACTGCAATTGTAACTTAAATAGTAAAGTTTGGATAACAATATTCTCAGTTTAGAACAAATATAGCTTACATGATTTGACCACGAAAAAGCTCATCCACTACCAATACAAGATAAGTAATATTTTTAACCCTTTAACGGATATCCTATAGAATAGCTATTTATGATTAACCTATATGATGGAAGTTGGTAACTATCAAAAAAGCCTATGGGTTTTTT